AACTTAGACATAATTATCAAAGACTATTCTGACTTCTAATAAACTACTCGTGAGTCCAATAATTAACAGAGGGGTTGGTCTTCTGCAAGGACTGTCGGGACTTGAAAGTCAGCTATACGAGTATATATCGTACCCTGACTAAAATAAAGAAAAACAGAATCCCTAAAGAAAGCCCAACACGGCAAAATTGTAAAATGTTGCAGGCTCGGTTTGATTGAGTATGTTCATAGACGGTACTGTAAAGTGCAAGTTACCACGCCCACGCCCCCTAGCACCGGCTTAAGCAGAATTCAACATTTAAACACAAAAAATGGAGAAATTTGAATTTAGAAACATCCGCATAAGCTGTTCTTTAAAATAATAAGGGACACCTAAGGTTTTCCTCCACCAGAAGAGCTGGGAAGGCCAGAAGGTGGCATATTAAAATGTCTCAACATTGAGAAGTAAGTGTTCTTCTTCTGCGGTCAAACGTTTTTTTTTCTTATGCAGTCAAAATTTAATGTTTTATGTTGTTTTGCGTATGTTTGAATTCAAATTAATATAGTTCCTCTTTTTTTATTGCCGTACATCCGTTTTTATTTGTCTCTTAAATATTTTGTTTTATTTTAATTTTTTCATTCCATATTATCAACTTCCGAGATGATAATTCTGTGTTTCACAATTTTGATAACATTGGGAAATAGATTTACTACCTATATCAAGTTGATTATGTCAATATTTGAGTGTTGAGGTAGATATTAATCGACCTGTCTGAAAAAAACTAGAATAATTTGGAAATCACCCGCCTACATAGTTAGTAAAAAAATAGGCCATGATTCCTATACATGTTTTGTTGGGAAATCTTCTAAAGAATGCCAGAAAAATCTTCTTCAAAATAATGACACTAATGTGAAAAACATACATTGTGATGATAGCAAACAATGTTACACACATATAATAAAAAGGTTAACTTAAACGTAGCTACTGGTGGTTTTTGCTGTTTACTGCTTTTTGTCTCTAGAGACAAGCTCATCATAAAAATAAAGCATTCCAAGGTAGAGTTTTCGGGAAAATGTTTAATTAAGTGGAGAAAGATGAAATAAATAAATCACTCTTCACAGAGATTATGGTTATTTACTAGGAACAGCAGACTCTCTATCTAGTTATAACTGCTCGTTTATCTTTTACACTAATTTCCGAAATTTCAATTATGCGAGATAAAAATAAGATAGATAATAATTAATTCAGACTGTTGTGGGGCATAATTTATGTCAAACCTCATCCATTATTGAAAATAATAAAATGGGGGAACTAGTTAATAGAAATAGAAAGTAAATAGCAAAGAAAATAAATATCTGTATATACTTCTAAACACATATATATGTATACACAAGTTGCACGGAATTTGTTTCTTCTGATGTAAAGTATTTACATGTCTCAACATAATTATTAGCTGATGAAGAACTCTGTGTAGAATTTGTATATTATCTAATTTTCTAATTTACAGTTCATCACAAAATCAACACTGGTACCACAGTTGTAATTACTAGGAATTTGAGTAATTGTATACCTGGCACGTGTCTCGATCAAGTTGCAATACCTGTGTTTTATGTTTTTACTCGCGTAAAAGAAAAAAGTTTTTTAAAAGCGCACACTTCATGCGTGATATTTTTATGAATATGTTTTAAACAGTAAAATCATTGTCATGCAGTTGTATAATGTAGCTCTTGTACCTTTCCCTATATGCTTGCAGAAATTAATACACATATTTTGATCAGAATATTGCCTCATAGAAAAGTTTCTGCAAGCAAATCGGGAAAGGCGGGATAAGTTAAAAAAAAACTACTGTGGAAAGTTATATACCATTGGAATCGGCAAATAACTAACTGGAACGTGGTATAATATTTGTAATGAAATATATAACGAAAAATTAGCAAATACCACAAGCGTTGGCCCTATTGTATACACTTGTTACGTAATCACTTACCCTAAAAGGGGTAGACATACTGGTGATGAAATTCAATCATATCTATCGTGAAACTTCTTCATGAAATAGGTTAATTGGGTATCACTAGGTGCCACCCTTTTGCTTTTTATGACTGTAAAATCTTATAATGTTTTGTCTTATTTTAGCATGAGATATTGTATCTGTTTCTCAAGCTTCTGATATATAGATTGTGAATTCCTTACACTCTTAACATAGTCTCTTGGCATGAGACCACCGAGTCCAATGCTTACATTTAAAACTAACCTATAGTCTCAACTTCTCTAATATAATATTAATTAAACCACATAAATAATAATAATAATAATAATAATAAACTAGCAATCTAAACCGCTTCCTGAGTTTTGTTTGCCTTCCATTATTTAAATTAACTCATTAAAACATTTCGAAACTATTGAAGCGCACGACTTTGTTGAATTTAAGTAAATTCTGTTAATGGTGTAGTTCTACTGCAGTTTTTCTCAAATGTTATAGAAGTACAAACAAACAAAATTCCTATGTGATGAAACTTCACAGGAATGTCTTTTAATAAATAGCACTCTTGAGAATTTTTGGGACGGTAATCAAAAAATAATGAAGACAAAATAAACTTTACATCTACATTATAATGGAAGGTTAGATTTCCACATAAAACAGGTGGTAAGACTAAAAAATATTTTGAGCGTCCTACAGATACAAACAAAATAAGTTTACAAAATATTCCGCCAACATTTACAAGTGCCACGACTATTATTTAGCATCTACACATGCTATATGTATACTGCAGGGATTTGTTATTTATCTACAAAACAGTCGTGTCCAAACCAATTATCAAACATGAAGATTACGATACTTATCTATATATGTGTAGAGTAGTGTCTATTGTATTGATGCCAAGGAGAGAAAGAAATCTTGATCTTGATAGATAGCTTGGTTCACGTAGATCTACATTACAACTTTATTTTTTTCTTCTTTTCTCTTTCTGACATTATTTAAGAATTGTGAACAAGTATTGTTTAGAAACTACAGTTACAAATATTTTATTTATTGCATTGCAGAGGAAAATCCCTATTGATGGGAAACACATTTTTTTACGTACTATAAGAAGGTGACCATTGTTGAAATCTGTTCTCCCCAGTAACTGACCGTTCCAAGGTGTTCGTGTAACGTTATGCCCTTTTTTAAAGTTATATAATTATGCTTTGCGTGACGGTGTTTTATATGTTCCGTCATGTCAGTCGTCGATTACAGTAGGCCTATGCCGTCCCTATTATCATCTTTTTTTAAACCTGTCAAATCAATTTGTCCAAGTCAAATTCTAAAAATTGTCATGTTTACATGAGAAGGTGACAAAACACATAAAATTTAATGATCATGTAAATATATACATATCAAGAGAAAACCTGATAACCATAAGAAAGTAGGCCTACTCAATGCCTTTTAAAACAATAACTCTTGATTCGCTGGGTACTTTGCCGGTAGTTCTTTGTCGCTGCGTATTTTGAAAGGGGTTGGGGCTGAAGTGGAAATCTTTCCTTTCATATTAGTACTATTGTTATAGGCAGATTCTAAAGCACTTGGGACTGACTTTTTTAATTTTTGTCTTCTTTCGAGCATTTGTTTCTTTTGCCCTATATTTATATGTATTAACATATATTATATATCATTTTATTTGGCTGTTCAAAAAGGCCCATGATGGAAAAATAAAATTACCGTAGAATCCCTATTTAAGACCACCCCGGAATTAAGACCGCCCCACTATCAAGACCATTTTTTAAAACTACGGAACTTTCTGTGCTAATGTCAATGGTAACATGATCCAGAACTTAGACACCTCGCTTATCCACCTTTAAGACCAGCAGATTCAGCCCCAATTCTTTGTTTTGTTCTTTATTTTACCCCACTATTGAGACCACTGATTTAAAGTCAACACCTACACGTAGACCTTAAATTTGTTGAAATGCTTTTATCATCTGCTTGAAAGCTCTTAGGCATGACACTTAATTTCACAAGGTGTCAAAAACACCTTATATCATAGGGATATTGTATGAAATAAGGTGAGAAAGTAAATTTTAGAGTGGTTTAATGTTGAGTTAGGCACATTGATTTAACGAAGAATTAATGGCTTATTTGATTTGTGAATTATGTACATCATATAATAATTAATATTGAAATCAGACCAAATAGAATTTGATATTAAATTTCTTTCTTTCCATCAGATGTTATTAAATTACAACATAGAGTCTACTTTTATTTTGCATTTGCAGGTTAAGATATTCATTTTTGTTTGTTTGTTCATACAAAATGACTAAAATAGACCATGGTCAAAAAGTGTGCAAGCATTGATAAAAATATTCACAATTAAGACCACCTTGCAATTAAGACCAATTTGGTCCAGTCCCGATGGTGGTCTTAATGGATGGTTTTTACTGTATTCTGTTCTAATCGTCGGGCCCTTACAGGTGATTTCTTGTTTCCCTGGGCATTTAGTACTTTTGCTGCGCTGCATAGTTACCTTATTTCTATGTGGTTTCTCGTTTCTAAAGGCAGACGCATCCTTGTGGACCACACGCTTCTTTTCATGGAAAAGCTCGATCGTGTCACATTCAAGGAAATGACAGAAATTGACGTCTAGATACTTAGATTCTACGGGCAATTTTTTTTTTTGAAACTGGTTTAAAAACACATTCTGTTAAAAGTACGTAGCTGCAGTAGATCTAGGTCTAATTTTAGATATAAGCCTATGTTTATATTTAAAAACTATTCGAGAAGCACATAATTTTTACAAACTTTAGCTCACACCCTGTACAAAAAAGTCACAAGGTCACGCGAGGATAACTGAAATGTAAGGCGGGAAATTTTTGTCGCTGATGGGTATTTCGACGAATACACATCGAAAGGGGTGTCAGCATAATATTGTACGTATGTTTTTAAAAGTATTTGAGTAATATTTCTATATTTTAAAGGTTTACCTTTACCAAATAAATTATATCCTATTTTTTATTCATTTTACAAGAATAATACCAATTCTTCCCTTTAAACAGGATAAAGGAACAATTGTAACAACCCCATAAATAATGGAATCGTCTATAGAGAATTCGGCTGCACTTACTCCGAGATTCTGTGTATTGCAAGCATCGGGGTGAAATGGATTTACACGAAATGGTAAAGAAAATACCTGGAATTATTTATTAGTATCCATTCTGTTTGTGTCTGTTAGAATATGATATTTATGTACTTTCTGCAACATGTTTAAAGTTATGGAAGTTTAAATTGTCAAAAGTAGTCAAAGAATCGTTTAAATCATGAAAAAAAAAAAATCCGTTGTTCGGAAGCGTTTGTGTATAGGCCTACTGTGCATATTTCATAAGGAATGTGAGTGGATATTACCGTTTCATACTCGGTGTTTCACTATGGTTAAACTAAAAAAAGTTTTGTGGAAGGATATATTTTTGCAGAATCTACTTCACGAAAGGAGCTTTCAAGAAATGATGCCATGCGTTCTTTCAAGAGCGTTGCCTTGTTTGGATATATAAGAAGATCTATACAGTATCATATTGACGGATATGAGATCAGAAGCGTCAAAACTTTTGAATACATGATATTCAGTCCAATTTGATATCTGTTTAGTGTTCCATATTCACAGCATACTCTCCCACTATTTTCAGTCTGGGAAATCCAGCATTTTTTTCCTTACAGTAGATCTATATAGTGGTTGGAGACCACCAATACCTAGTCCTAATTATAAGACCTATACGTAACCTATTTCATATTTATCATTCATTAATCTGATATTTTACATTTTTCATTTTCCATGTTATGCTAGGTCTTAACAGATCTTTGCAAAATCGTGTAGCAAAAAAAATGACATTAGACATCGATTTAGATCTAATGAATTTCAACAATTAAAACAGCATGTATTTACATTAATTTTGACCTATTTATGAACAAAACTAAAAAATGAATACTCTACCTTTTAACAAAATGATTGAACTGTCACATCCGAAAAATCATGATTAAATCCTCTCATTTAATTAAATTCCGTGTACAGTCGATATACAAATGGCCGCCATACAGTGCGCGAAATCTGATTGGCTAATTCAAATGCAAGCCTTTAAATGAGTCCAGAAGTTTCTAACGGAATATTTTTTCAACGAAATAATTGCCCATGCACTGTCAGTGTGTTCGAATATAATTTTCTGTTCACAAAATTGGAATCAATCTGTAAAACGCTTTACTTAACCAGTATGGCCGATGACGGCGATGAGCAAAATAGACTGATATTTATATTTTATTTTTAATTGATAAGTACATTGTTTGAAAGTTTTTGTTAATGATGGACCATGCAATTGAAAGAACAGAAGATAAGCTTTTGAATAAAGCTTGAAAGGCAAGTCGACAGACATTTTTTTAATTTTTCAAAATGCTACGCGTTTATGAGCAATAACTATTAAGACGTCGGGCTTGACAAACATAAAACTATAACAAGCCTGTAACGTCTAATCTATTGGACTAACCAAAACCGGACGACCACCAAACCCGGACGGCCCCGAAAATGCTTTTTTTATTTGTTCAGTGAACTGATTTAGCTGGGAAACGGACAAAAGTCCTCCGTCAAAAAATGACAAGGCAGACAAAAGTCCTCCCGCGAAAATGACAGGGCAGCAAAAGCCCTCCGGCGAAAATGACAGGGCAGCAAAAGCCCTCCCGTGAAATTAACAAGGCGGACAAAAGCCCTCCCGTAACAAAAATAAATATGTATGTTGAATACTTGTGTGTTTTTTCATTGCACTCAACATATTAAAATTGTTACATGTATATATTTCTTGTTGTTTTCAATTGGCCTTGGCTTAGTACTGGTATGAGCTAGAATCATCTTTTATTCTGAATATACCTAACTGAAATGTTTAACGAGGTAACTTTTTACACGAATGCCGTTAAAAACAAAGTCACTTTTAAAAGTAATTGACTCATTACAAGGCACATTTATTATAAATGTTTTTAACTTTTAAGTTAGATAATTTTAACTTCTTTTCATCAATTAATACTCTATTAATATTATTTTCACATAGAATAATCCTTCATATCTACGTGAATAAATACGGCCCGAATAAATATGGACTTACAGATTTTAGCACTAATTATTCAGATGCCCCTCAGGAATGTGCTCAAGCTCATACAAACACGGTTTTGCCAATGGAAAACAAAAATATTCATGATTACAATTTTAATATGTTGAGTGCATTGAAAAGAAAATATAAACTATTCAATGTACATATATGTATTTGCTGCGGGAGGGCTTTTGTCTGCCCTGTTATTTTCACGGGAGGGCTTCTGTCCGCCCAGTCATTTTTACGGTAGGGCTTTTGTCCGCCCTGTCATTTTTACGGGAGGGCTTTTGTCCGCCTTGTCAATTTTGGACGGGAGGGCTTTTGTCCTACACTCGATTTAGCCATTTCCATACGCAATACAAAATCATACCTTTTACAACCGCAGATATTTTAAATCGAAGCATTACATAATAATAAATTGCAAAAATTTAGTCAAATGTCAACAAAATATTTTGTTTGGCACTACATGTGCTGACGTCACTTGACTTCACTGCTCCGGGCGGAATATGAAGTATTTATGTTTTCCTTAATACTGGTCGGAGACCATCAACCGGACACTTTTGGAACATTTTTCCGTACAGATTTAATAATTTTTAACCTAGAGACCAAAAAATTTGACACAGTTCAGCTAGGTTCTTCTCCTAACTAAGAAACTAATTTGTTTATTTCTGATTGTATTGTAGGGATTAAACGATGATCGAGTATAATCGAAAATTGATCGTTTAAAGGACCGATCGGCGATGATCGATTACAAGGTTTAATAATCGATCATCAGTAATTTATTTTTTGCTGTTACTTAAGTAACTCACTGTATTATAACAACACTCTAAATTAAAGCCAGCTTTGGTTGAAACAATAACTTGCATTCAATTGACTGGTGACCATGGTGTTAATAGTTGACAGTGAGGGATATACTATGCTCAAATTTGACATTAGAAAATATTTAGAATTGCTACACAGTCTATTTGTAAATATAAAATAAATATGTTTTGACTTCACAGAAAGAAGATATGTTATGTATAAAATTATTTTACACACTAAAGGTAGTTACAATATCAATACAGTGATTTTTTTACAAACTCATCAGTGTGGGTCCTAGGACTCGCTGAGCTATAAATCTATGAGTCCTAAAATTTAGCCGACTAATCTAAGTTACAAGGCTTAATATTGCTTTAGTGATATGAAAGGTATATTAACAATGGAATGAAGAAAAATTGAATTTGATTTCTACATTACAGGGCTCATCCTGGGTGGAAATTTTAGGGAGAAGTGACTTCCTCGCGAAAAATAGGGAGAAGGGAAACAACCCAATGTGTATGCATTAACATGCATAGCTATACATCCTTTAACTATAATATAAACACAATCTATTTATCAGCTATTTATAAGCTTCCTCTAAATATTTGTTTATGTATTTTCATGTAGATTTATTGATAATAATGTGTATGAAAAATTATGATGAATAAATTAATTCTGTATCTTATGTCCCAGATTAATTTTACATTATTACTTTCAATATAAAGTTACATTGGATATTGATTAACAATATCTGCCTAATCTGTTCTAAATACAGAACTTTTTTTAAGACCTTACATGTTGTTATGCCACATTTATGTGCATATAATTATGCTTATAAAACAATTTTCAAACATGGAAGAATATGTAAAATATTTACTGCAAACATTTGTGCACATTATATTTGATCACTAAAATTATATACATTCATTTCTTATTGAAAAATGCGACTGAGAAATTATAGAAAAGAAATTTCTAATTACCTCCCTTTATTTTCATGAAATGTTAAACTCGTAATATCTTTATAAATAATGCTTTTTGATATTTACAATAGTGATAAATCTTAATCTGAGCGTCATATTTTTGACATTAAAACACATATCTATATTAAAACAATAAGAACGCTTCTTTCCTGACAAATTTTGTTGTTATATACATGGCCGATCATTATTCGTAGTTTTTCCGGGATGTCGTGCCCACGTGCGTAAGATGTGTCAAATTTGGCATTTCTACAAAGATAACAATGCCAAACACTCTCATTGTCTACAACATACCAATCGTAAAATTTTTGCGAATTGGCTTTCTTAAATTTTCGCGTAGATGTATCAGAATCAGTAACTTTCTTTTACTGCTAGTTTTGGGCATTTCGTAGCCATGACGTGAGCGACAACAATTTTTAATTGATGTTAACGGACTGAAATCATTCAAAATATGATTAAGTTTTTAATCCAGTCGCTGATCATGAATGAAATTGATTATTTTAAATTGACTAACAGTTTTGTGATAGCCGTGAAAAACCCATTGCACATCGCCTTAACTCGGGTTAAACACCGCGTGTATATCAATTAGGGAAGATTTGCACGTGTTCAGATAATCGGGAAAAAACAATCTATAATTATCGCATTATCCGGTATTAAACTCGCAAAACTGTCACACAATTAAACCCGTTTCGGGCCGATGCTCGATTTATTTACTGATTAGAGTAGGCGGTCTATCGCTTAGCATACAGGTAGACGGGTAGTATAAAGCGACGCTCTGATTGGATAATGATAATTAGCAGTCGTCATATGGGCGGATACAATCTCTGCTCTTTACATCGCCAAGTAATTACTCCTTGGGAATTAAGATTTTATCGGCGATGTTGACTTCTCTTTGATCAATTGGGAGAGCGAAATGGAAATATACACGGCGAAGTTATCGCCTGAATCGCCCTTCCGGATGAGCCCTGCATTAATTACAATGCTTCTGATACTGAAATAATTCAAAACTGTCAAATAAATTTAATAAGTTTATTTCCATTAATTTAGTTTGAGATTAATCAAAACTTCATTTTCCTTAATATTTTATGCTTAATAATCATTAGTAAAGCACTCATTATTATTTCTTATCTGTAGAAGATTTGCAGACCTAGAATATGATTGACATAACTTGAACACAATTTGGTATTTATTACCAAATTCCTGTCAGACAGGACTCCCTACTCAGAAAAAGTATGCATCCAAAAGATGCACATTATTTGAAACTTTGCATCCACAGCAA